TTTCTTTGAGTGGTGCAAAAGAACCCAGGACAGATAACTTGATCAGAGGTACTTGCTTTATTAATGATGTTGAGTTTATTGCTATGATTGATATTGGTGCTACTCATTCATTTATTTCGCTTGAATGTGCTACGAGGTTGAGTTTAAAATTATCTTCTTTGGTTGGGAGTATGGTTATCGATACCCCAACTAATGGTTTTGTGACTGCTTTGTTAGAATTAGATGGTGCATTTTACCCATGCTTGTATCACCCTTTTATAGAGAATTCATCTAAACATGCAAGCCAGAGGAGTTGGCAACTCCATTGAACATTTACAAAGGGGCGTCAGTCCAATTGGTGAACCTCGCTAGGGAATCTAGCTCAGCAATGTAGCCTGAGCCTTGTTACATGCATGCAAGGCCTGCTGTCCCCCACATGGCGACATACAACATAAAAGTTGTACCATGTCGCCAATGCAGGTGGCAACTCTATTAAATGCATGTTAGATATTGCCAATTGAGTTGGCATCTACAATTAATTAGTTTGTCTTTGTCTCCAATTAATATGCCGCCTTAATAGATGTCCAAAAAACATAAATATGCTCCCATGCATGCAGACACTCATAAAAATAATTTTACTAGTCCATTACTAGTTCTTTTAGTATGTCATCTGCACCCAGATATATTTTGAACGCTCACTACTACAGAGAGACATATGTCTCTGATGTATCTGGGTTTGGTTTTTAAAACACTGACACTTCCTGTTTCACAATCAATAGAAACACAAGTTTCTTGCATTTTAGAGAAAGATTGGAATCGAAATTAGGGCTCGATCCTATAGCACAAATAATATTTCAAAACCCGGTTTATTTGAAACCAACCATGTTAAATTTTATCCACATAAAGTGCGAGACGACGAAGATGTATAAAATATGTTCCTAAGTCACGAACATTCTGGTTTCAACTACATTGAGCTGTATACGTTCATCCAACAAAATATTCCATCTCAACAGTCTCAGATCATTGGTCAATCAACAGTTTTTGGCTCAGATGAAACTAAATCACAATACTCAGATGAAAAGGAACCAGAGGTCAACGTTGTTGACACAGAAGAAGAAGGAAGTGAGACGCTGGTAGATGAATTATTGAACGACAACGTTGAAGATGACGAACAAGTACCAATACCTCCAGGTCATGCATACTATCCGCCTCAACATATGACAGACTTAGACTTGCAAGACGATGAGAGATCTGCAGATATGTTTCACAACTCGTATAGACGGTCAGAGAATGAGTTAAAAGTTGAAGACCAGTTTCGTACCAAGGCGGATTGTGTACGATCCACTAAAAAATATCACATGGATAACTCTGTTGATTTCAATGCACAACGAACTGATTCCAGAAGATATGGCATTATTTGTCGTAATCCACTTTGCAAGTTTCGGCTTGCTGCATCTTACAGCAAGAGAAGCGATTCTTGGATGATAGCTTCTATAAAGCCACTTCGCAGTTGCACTGCCACAAATATTGTTCAGGATCACCGAAAGCTAAGCGCAGAAATGATATGTCAAGACATTTTTTCTCTTGTTAACAAGGATCCTTCAGTCAAGGTGAGTATAATAATCTCTCATATCGTAACGCGGTATAATTATACTCCATTGTACAAGAAGGCGTGGATTGTAAGGACAAAGGCCGTTGAACAAGTCTTTGGAAACTAGGAGGATTCATACAAAGAACTACTGCGATTTTTGGTAGCGCTAAAGACATACACACCAGGAACTGTTGCAATCATGGAGACAATGTATGCATGTAAGCAAGATGGAACAACTGTTGATGGAAATGTCATATTTCACCGTTTTTTTTTGTCATTTCAACCATGCATAAGAGGTTTTGCATTCTGCAAACCTGTTATTCAAATTGATGGAACATGCCTCTACGGAAAATGCAAAGGCACCTTGCTTATGGCAGTTGCACAAGACGGTAACAATAATGTCTTTCCCATAGCATTTGCTTTGGTTGAGGGTGAGACTGCTTTTGCTTGGAGTTTCTTCCTTACAAATCTCAGAACACATGTCGCTCCATAAGCCAACCTCTGTTTGATTTTAGACAGATATGCTGCTATAAAGAGTGCGTACAATAACCATGATAACGGGTGGCATAATCCTCCTTCTACCCATGTGTATTGCATTATACATATTGCATAAAACTTCATGCGTGCAATTAAAGACAAGAACCTTCACAAAAAATTAGTGAATGCCGGGCATGCTCTAACTCAACCAACATTTCAATACTACCTTAACGAAATTAGGATGTCAAATGCAGATGCAGGAAGCTGGTTAGACAATATTCCACTCGAAAAATGGACAAGGGCTTTTGATGGTGGATGTCGTTGGGGCCATATGACGATAAACCTTGTGGAATCCATGAACGGGGTATTCAAAGGAATTAGAAACCTTCCAATCACTGCTTTGGTGAGATCAACATATTATAGGTTGACATCACTTTTCACAATAAGAGACGAGAGATGGAGTGCAGTGTTAACGTCCAGTCAAGTATTCAGTGAAAGCATTATGAAATTGATGAAAGAGGATACTATTAATGCCAGCAGACATGCAGTTACAGTCTTCGATCGTCATAGGAAAACATTCAGTGTAAAAGAAACAATGGACCATAATGAGGGGAGACCCAATTTATCCTATGCCGTCAAACTAAACAGATGTTGGTGTGACTGTGGCAAGTACCATGCCTTCCGTGTACCTTGCTCACATGTCATTGCGGCATGTGCACATGCTCGTCAGGATGCTTATGGCTATCTATATGATGTTTACAAGGCGTTTAATGTTATGAACGTATAACAACGAAGGCTTTGCAGTGCTACCAATGAAGGATTATTGGCCTCCATACCAAGGTGACATAGTTTAGCACAACGATGACATGAGAAGAAAGAAAAAGGGACGTCCAAACAGTAAGAATCGAAATGGATACGACTGCTAAAATGATAAGATTGTGTAGTATATGTCGTAAGTCCGGACACAACCGAAAAAAATGTCCCAATGTCGGAGGCACATCTGCATCATGATTTAGCTTATCGTTTCATTTGTTGTAACCAAATATTTTTATATATTGACGAGTCTTTGTTACAACGGTCTTAATAACAAACAAGACTAACAACACATAACACATACTAATTTCATAAAACATAAAACATTAACTAAGTGATTACGACATTCCTAACTGATTACAACAATCAAACTAATTTCATTCGGTCCAAACATGACCTCCCTCGCATATTTGTCTGTCTTAACACGAATCCATCCACGCAGCCGATCAAGTCTCTCGATACTACAAATCTTTTCCCCTTCACCAATGTCTCCTTCCAACCACTAATTCAACTCCCTTTTAAGTTGATTTAAACTTTGTATGTTCCAATACAACATGTCCATCAGAGGCTTCTCTCTCGAATAGACGACTTTTCCCCACCGGCGACGATACATGTTATTAGAAGAACAAAGATATCAGATGAAATGTGGAAGTAAATGATCAGAACACCTCTATTTATAGAAAAAAATTTCAAAATACAAAGGATCTCCAGATGAATTGACGACACCCTTATAAGTTTAACACCAAATCCTTGGATTGGAGACTGCATGAGGAATCTCTAATCCAATTGGCGACTCCCTTATAGCCTTAACAAGGTGTCGCCAATCCATCTGACACCCTTGTGTAATTTCAAACCCTAACTGAGATACTTTGAAAATAATTTTAAAAAGTAAATTATTTTGAGATATTTTTTAAAAAATTGAATTATTTGAATAAAAAATTCTCAATTTTCCTCCTCCAAAAATAATTATCTTAGAAGCTACAATTCTTAATTTTTTTGAAATTAATAATAATTATATTTTGGTTGTTACAAGAATTTTTTTGAAATTAATAATTATTATATTTTGGTTGTTACAACTCACTTTCATTTTCTTTCTTTATCCTACTTAAATTTCATCAATTACAATTTCCTTTTTGCTTTGTATTCAAATTTATTACTATTTTACTAATTATATATTCAAAATCAATTTTGATAAAAATTATCCAAATATTAACAACCAATTCTACATTTTCTATACACACTTAAAAAGCAATTATTCAATTAAAATTTATTCTACCAAACTCAAATATTTAAAAATTAATTTTATCCATCACCAATCTACACTTGCACAAAGTTGGGTTGAGTTTCAACTCACTTTTAAAACATTGGTAACCCTTTATAGACTTTGAGAAAGATTTAGCTTCTTCACATTTGGGTGTACTTTCCCCTCTTTAACCTCTTCTTAAATGGGAGTACATTACCTAATATAAAATCACCTACTCGGCTAAGAGAATAGTAGTACTTATTTTTAGAAGTAAATATTTTTAAAATAATCACAATTAATTAGCATTTATAAAAAAATAAAAAATAAATAGTTTCCTAAAACATACATACCCCTACTATTAAACAATTAACAAAGATACATAGTATACTAAAATGTGAAAAAGTTGAAAAAGAAAAAAACAACACAGGCTCAGTAATTAACTCACATTTATTAATCTTTATAACAGTGCCTCAGTAGATGTTTTGTCCAAAATCAATTGTCATGTTCCATATCCAAATATAAAGAGCCAAAGATTCTTATGTTATCTTTCAAATCACTTCACTCACCCGTGCTTTTTTACTTAACCATTTCACTCTCTTTTGTCTCATTTGCTTGTTCATCTTCTTCTAGATACCATCTTACCTACGGATATTGCATAAATCCTTGATGCATGGTTGAGTTTTTTCATGGAAAGTTGAAGGAAGTTTCATATAACAAAAAGGGTTGTTTTCTTTTAGCAGAAAACAACCAAAGTTGTCGTCTTTTTTGATTTTGATTGTCTCAGCTTTTAGTTTGGAAGAAGAAAGTGAAGATTTTGCATAGGGAAAAATGGACCCTTTTGGAAGATAAGGAGAGAATCAGAAAAAGAGAAAGAGAAGGGAAACATTTAAGGGTAATATGCCAACAGTGTGGTTTTCTTTGAAGAAGTCACTACATTGCAAATCAGAACCCTCAGATGTACATGATCCAAAAACAAGAAAGCATTTAAGCACAATCTTGACAAAAAAAGGAGGTAGATCAGGTTGTTCAAGGTCAATAGCGAATCTAAAAGATGTTATCCATGGAAGCAAACGCCATCTCGAAAAGCCACCAAGTTGCAGTCCAAGATCTATAGGAAGCAGTGAGTTTCTCAACCCAATAACTCATGAAGTCATTTTGAGTAACTCAAGGTGTGAGTTAAAAATCACTGGTTTTCAAGAAGGGGTTAATAGTGGTGGAAGCAATGCTAGTGGAAGTAGTGGTGGTGGTTCTTCAACTTTTGTTGGTACTTTGAGACCTGGAACTCCTGGACCTGGAGGGCACCCTACAATGCATTACTTTAACCCTTCTTTTAGGACTTCTTCAACTCCTCCAAGGAAATCTCCTTTTCTTTTGTCAGAAGGGTCTGGTTTTCATGGTGGTGGTGGTGGTGTTCATTCGAGTAATAGGATGTCCCTTGAGACAGATGCTAATGGCTCTTCTACTGTTACTTGTCACAAATGTGGAGAACAGTTTAGCAAATGGGAAGCTGCTGAAACTCACCATCTCTCAAAGCATGCTGGTATGATTATTTTTTTTACTTTTTCTTAGGATTTTGTTTATCCAAAAATAATTTTCTGACCACAAACTTTTTGGTCAGTCTTTATCAGATATTCATAGTTTTTTTTAATGGTGAGGTGATGAATCTTAGTAATCAAGATCCTACTTTTTGAATTTGGGGCTGTAAAGCTGATTTTGCTTTTTTCCATTACCTTTTTAATTTAGAATTTTGTTAGTATTATCCAACACATTTTATCTTCAAAATATCTAGGATAATTAATAGTGTACATCACTTTTTCAACCTACTTTATCCTTACCAAGGTTTTAAATAACAGTTAGGAATCGGTCGCGCGTAAAGACTTTTGTGATTTCGATAGATAAAATTATTGTAATAGTGATTGGGACTTAATCATAGTTTATTCCTTATCATAAAAATGATGAATAACAGGATATGCACCTTTTGATTTTTTTGTTGCGGTGGTTTTCGTGTTAACAGACAGTTTTTTAAAACTTCCTGGGCTGGTGTAGTAATCAAAATTCATGAATGGTGATTTCACTTTGTTGTTATTTGTATATAGTTTTTGACAGATTTGAAGTTTCATGTATTTTGAATTCAAGATCAAGTTATTTTTCCCCTTGGCAGTTACTGAACTTGTGGAAGGAGATTCATCAAGGAAAATAGTAGAGATAATATGCAGGACAAGTTGGTTAAAGTCTGAAAACCACTGTGGTAGAATTGAGAGAGTATTGAAGGTGCACAACATGCAAAAGACATTAGCTAGATTCGAAGAGTACCGAGAAATGGTGAAAATCAAAGCAAGCAAACTCCAGAAGAAGCATCCTAGGTGTTTAGCTGACGGAAACGAGCTTTTACGGTTCTATGGAACCAGTGTTGCTTGTTCTCTTGGTCTCAACGGTTCATCAAGTCTTTGCCTATCAGAAAAATGCTGTGTCTGTAGAATTATCAGGAATGGTTTTTCTGCTAAGAAGGAGCTGAAAGGTGGTATAGGTGTTTTCACAACTTCCACAAGTGGAAGAGCTTTTGAGTCTATAGAGATTCTTGATAATGAACCATCACTAAGAAAGGCGTTGATAGTGTGCAGAGTAATCGCTGGCAGGGTTCATCGGCCGTTAGAGAACATTCAGGAAATGGCAGCTCAAACTGGATTCGATTCATTGGCTGGAAAAGTCGGTCTTTACTCGAATATCGAAGAGCTCTATTTGCTTAATCCTAGAGCTCTTCTTCCTTGTTTTGTCGTAATTTGCAAACCATGAACCCAAATGAAAATCCATGTCTTCGCACACATGTGGATTTACGGTGAATTTGACAGAATCAGGGTAGCACTGTGATTTTGTTTAACTCGCGGCAATTTCTGGCATGAACTTACATATTGTGTAGTTTTATGAACTCTTACCATCCCTCTATTTTGGCCTTTTTCTATGGAGGTTCTTTGCTTTACATATTTTGAAGAATTTTGATTCTTTTTTCACTTGTGCTTGTTCATGTTAATTGTACTAATATCTATGAACCTCCTACTCATACATTTGTATTTTTTTTTTTCATCTTATGAGAGTGAATATTTTTACATCTGAATCAGAAAACATGAATTGTCACAACCAGAAATACATTTAGAAGACTTGTAAAATGATGACATCAAATTTATAAATTTTAGTAATAATTATCCATACTTTATTTCTATTGGAAAGCACAATGTAGTTGCTTCCTTGCAGGTTCTATCTTTGTGTCAGTGTTAATTAATTGAAAGTGTATAAATAAAATAGTCCTTCAAATGAAGTAACTAAGATGATGAATTCAAATTCTTGCATAGGACAAAATATGAAAATTATTTGGTTTATTTTAATACAATCGAATATTAGATTCCATAAGTGGTCCAAATGTGTTTAAAAATTTGTAATATAACTAATCAGTTACTTCTTGGCCTCAAACTGTGAAAGGTCCTACATAATGCATATATGGCAAGATGTCATATTTTGAATTCAATGTTGCTAGCCAAATTTATGGCATGTGACCCTTCTTAGATGGTTATGGTTCAAGTAGGACAAAGGTTGTTCTAATCTTTTGGACAAATATGAACAAAATTTGGAACTCAGAAGTATGATTATTCATTGTTTAGGCATATACATGCCTTGTCTCTTCCTCCTTTGGTTTTGTAAATGTTTAATTTCAACCATCATTAGGACTTTATTGGATCATCATGATGAGAATAATAACCATTTAAGATAAGGTGATTGAGACGTTGGACCCCTCTTGCCATTTGATTACGCGAATGCTGGGTCATCAATGCAACAATATATTCGAAATTAGATTCTCAAACCACTAATTTGGTGTTGCATCCAACGTACTCACACCATTTTGGCCCTGCATGCAGAATCTGGATAATGCTGCATGCAGAACCATAATTAAGGTCCAACATATACGCATATATGCGGTGACTAAGGTCCAACATATACGCATACACGGTGACGAATAAATGAGTATAATGTGAACATGGGAAATAACTTGGTCACTTTGAGGGCAATAACTCAAGAGCGTGTACCTATCTAACAAAGAGGTGAGGGGGTTGGTAATGTCAATTCATTGCTGTAAACATCTGCACAGCTTTCAATTTCTCACGGCACATGCATCTCATAAATGAGTGTACTAACCCTCATTACACTTCCCTGGTTTGGTATTGAATGAAACACCATTAGATATTTCAAATTTGATACTACTTCACTAAGAGGTTGGTGCAGTTAACTTGCAAATTAGCCTGCAAATCTTGCACAACTATAAAACCTCTTTTATGGTAAATCTTCTGAGTTCTGATAGGTTTCTCTTTTTAATATTTGATGCAGACTTCACTAGTTGTTGATAGATAGTAGTATTCAATAAAGACAAAGGAAAAAGTAGGAAAAGATAAAGACATCAAAAGTTACCAAAAACTAGTAGTGGATTTACCAACCTAACCTTTCTCCCTGTGTTTATACTTGCCAATTTAGCTAAGTTTTAACCAATTTTTTTTTAGCTCTATCTTTAGGATCATATTTACAAAGCATGATAGCAATGTTTGTAATGATTGCTAACTTGTAAGTATTTGCTCAATTTTTAATAGCAGCCATTCGAATGATTATAATTCACATCATAATTACGGTCCAATGCGGCTGTAAAGGCTATCACGTCAGCAATATTAATGTCACAATTATAGTTGCTGGGCTGTAATTTCAAACTATGACACCGTATTTGTTTTAACAAGTATTAACATAATTTGGCCATAAGTCAAATATTTGAGACTAACTTGTTGATAAAAACTTTTCAACACTAGTGTATTTGGATGACTAATTTTAGGGTTCCAACTAAAATAGGAAAAAGAAAAAACTTGAAGAAAGTGTATGTGAATGAAGTGAAGGATTCAAATAACAAAATCAGCTACTACCTAATAATGATGAAAACGATTCATATCTACTATAATACAACTTGCATTACCAAAATCATGCAGAAATTAGTTGATAAGCTATTACTTAATCAAATTACTTTAGATTTTTTTTTGAAGTAATTTCTATAGTGTTAGTCTTTTGTGTGAGACTTTGGTCCCCATTCTAAGAACCCATAGTGATGAAAGTACAATAAAATTAGGTAACATTTACTCTACACAAACACAACATATGGACCAACCATCATTTAATTTTGATGATTCACATTAGACCAGACACAACTATAAGTTCTTGGTGCTTTTGAATCCATCAATACCTTCCTGGAACTACCATGAATCATGCCTCAAATTTTTGGCATGAGGGTTCTATTTATGTTGATAAATAATTAATGTTGGCTATGAAATGTTATTGTAGCTAGGGTAAGAGATAATGAAATGTACTACAAATGTTTTGAGCTCATCAATACCTTAGTTGTTGATTGAATGAGGGTTCAATTTCTATGGAATTCTATTCTTGTAACCAAGGTAATAAGAAATGAAAGTATACAAAGCTAGAAAAGTAAAGGTAGTGGTTTGAAAGTTTACTTCATTTATTTATTGGCAAATAAGTATGTTCTTTAATTTAAAATTTTAAATAAGTGTATGTTTGGTTTACTTTTTGAAAGAGGCAAAAATAATTTTAGAGGTGTAAGAATGATTTTAGAATGATTTTGAGGTGTTTGGTTCTTATAAAGTAGAACCGGTTGTTTCTAAATTTTATACTACTTGAAGTTAGAATTTGTAGTTTTTAAGTTTAAAGTGATTTTTATATTGAAATTTACCATTCAACTCACTTCTATATTAATATATCCAAACATAAATCATTTTACATTCAACTCATTTTTAATTAGAATCAATTTTACAGAATCAATTTTTTTTTTTACCGCATAATCAAACACCCGCTAAGTCTTTTATATTTTTGTGTGTATAAATTGGTCGTTTATCTTTCAAAATGTTTGTATTGTTGAACAACCATTCATTCCTCATCCATTATTGTTATACATTTGTGTAAATGAACATTAAATAAATGAAGTGCTAGAGATAATGTTTTACCATTTAGCACCATAATTAGACAACAAGATCATAATCTTCGATAAAAATTATCCATACTCGAGCTCACGAAGTTGATCACCCGAGTCCATAATTTAGCACCAATCATCTCCATATTTTCATGATCCTTAAGTTGTGGAGTCCATGTTTGACCAAAAATCTCAAAAGTCAAACTTTGACTTTGATCACCAGTTAACTTTTTCTCGGTTGAACTAGAATTCTTCAATTGTCAATGAATCAAGCTTCTTGAGTCAATCCAAATATGTGAATGAGCTAAGATGAAGTACTTGAGGAATTTGAACCATATCTTGAAGTGTGATATCATGCCTTGCTCAAAAGTCAACTTAGGGTTGAATTAGGTCAAAACCCTAATTTAGTGCATCAGATAACTTGGAGCTTGTTGATCTTGAGTCTATGAAATTTTGCACTTGATTGTTGAATGAAGAAGACCTTTTATCATGTTGAGATGTTTAGGATCACAAAGGTCTTTGATTGGTTAACTTCTTGAACTCTTGGTGCCAAAATCCTAGCTTGTAGTCAAAGTAAAAATAGAGCACATACTATTGTGTTTCAAAGGGGTTGCAATGCATAAAACACATACATGAAATGAATGATGTTATGCCAAAATGATGCAAATGAGGTGGAATCTTAGGGTTAAAAATTAGAGTGTGACAAGAGAAGTTAGCATGATTATACCTAAGTGAATCGCACATTCAAAGATACAACAGAGTCGCCACCAAACTTTATTTAGTCCCAAAGGACAGGAAAAATATCGATACAACCCAAAGGGAAGAGAAACGAGAAAAGGGATCGGTTATGCGAAAGGAAGGTACTAGCACCTTAAGCATCCGTCGTATTCGACGGAAACCATTTCGCTTGCTTCTAGACTTGAATGTGTTATCTATCTAAAGGCTTCTAGCTAAAAAGGAAAGAAAAGAGAGAAAAAGAAAGAGAAAGAAAGAAAGTGCTCTCGGAGGATTGGGGTCCTCGTGCCTACGTACCCTCATAGTGCAATGAGGAAGTCAGAGCTCCGTAGTTCAAGGAACCAAGGAAGAAAGAAGAGGAAGGTGGCTCACCAGGATTTCACAATCTTGTGTTTAAGTACCCACATAGTGCAATAAGGAAACCAGAGCCTACATAGTTCGGGGAACTAATGCTGAGAAAGAAAATAAAGACGACGTCGAAGCCAAAAGCTAAAAGAGAAATCAAGACCCAACTGGGGAATGCAAGAGGAATGGTGTCAAAACTAAAAAAAAAGCAAAGGAAAACTCTATTGAGGAAAGGAGAAGCAAAGTAAGAACTCTGTCGGGGAATGTAGAAGAAAAGAGATGACTATACTTGGGATAAAACAAAATAATGGCGACGGAGCCAAGAGAATTACAGAGTAAAGTGGTGCATTAACTAGTAAGTGGTGATTAACCGAAGAAAGATAAGAGTAAAACTTTGTGGGGAGAGAAAAAAGGTTAGTGTCAACAGACAGACTGCATCGAACTAAGAGAAAGAGAGTACTGAAGCAAAGGGAGGTGTTTGACTCCAAGGGGAAATTGGTATATTAACCGATAAACAGTGGTTAACCGGAAGGAGAAAGGAGATGGTTTTAACTGGTAGACGGTGATCAACCAACAGATGGGTGTGGAACCAAGCAAAGGTTGTGATCCAAAGAATGGTACATTGACTGAACAAACAACACTTGACCGAAGGAAAGGGTATTCGAATCGAATAAAGATTACTAACCAAAAACTGGCAATATCTGAA